TTCTCTCTCTTCATTGGTGAGCTCCACTCACACAGCCCTGCCCAGATGCATGGAGCTAGGACATGGTGTTTACCTGGGAATCCACAAAGAGTTCATTTTGGTGAGCATCTAGTGAGTTTTTTTCTACAGAAAAGAATTGGTGCTCTCAGTGTGGAGATCTGGAAGATGAAATTAAGTTCATCAGGAAAAGTGTATTCTGGCAAGGCCAAGCAGCATGTACTAGACCCTGCACGAGGCTTGCGATGTGTGAGAAATGAATAGAAAGCTTGCGTAGCCTGAGTTCTGAGAAAGGAGAAGCGTGGGTCAAGATGCAGTTGGAAAGCAAAGCCTGGGAAAGATCTCACAGGGCCTAGGAAGGAATCTGTCTTTTGTGCTTGGTGCAACGAGAATCCATTGAGGGATTTCTACACAGAGAGGTGACATAATCTGATTTACATTTTAAAAAAAAAATCACTTGGCTGTGAGGAAAATTAATGGTCTTGGAGAACAGAAGCAATCAGAACAGTAAGGCAATTACTGCAGTAGTCAAATGTTCTAGAACCAGGTGGCTGGTCAGAAGTCACCTGGGAAGGAGGATGACCTGGAAATGAAAGGCTCTAATTACTAGGCTGTCAGAAAAGGTACAGAGCTTCTGCGCTTTTACGTAACCAGTGAGTGTTTGGAGTTGTCGTGTCTCTGCCAAGAGCAGGCTGTATTTGTTGGAACTGTGTTCCCTTAGGACTGTATTACTGAACAAAAGAGCAGAACTGCAGAAGGAAGAACTGTTTACTTGGGGACTCTAAAAAAGATGGTGAGCAAGCACAAGGCACAGGCTGACACCCAAACCCAACTCTGCTCCTGTCCTCAGCACCCCTGCAAACTTTATTCATGCTGTACTCTTTCCCTATTGGAAAAAAGCTGCTGCAAGACCCTGACGTTCTTAGAAAAACACAGTCTCAGGGCATTAAACTGTTGAACTCTGTTTACCAATAAATAATCTACACAGCAGCTTTCAATCCTTTGCCTTCCCAGCTCTACCCTGCCTGAGTTAAGGAGCCTACTTTGAGGAAAGAGGGAATGCTGTTTGCCCTCCACACCTCCTGTCCAGCTACTAACTGCTGCTGATTATTCTGTGGCCAAGTACTGAGAGAGAGGTGAAGTGGTAAAACAGGCCTGGCAGATATTTACACGGGTAACCCCTGCTGTCTCCCCACTATCCTGGTGAGTACGGTTTCAACTGGGGCAGTCCCCTGCAACTCCCTCTTCAGTGCACACGGCGCCACATGGCGCACTCTCCCAGCTTCTTTGTACTGAGGTCTCCTTGGTTCTTCAAAAAGGCCCTAGTAGGCTGGACATGATGGTGCACATCTATAATCCCAGCACTCTGGAAGGCTAAGGCAGGAGGACCGTGAGTTCAAACCCAGTCTGCACAACTTAGCAAGACCCTGTCTCAAAAGAAAAAATAAAGAAGGGATGGGGGTGTAGCTCAGTGTGCAAGCCCTGGTTCAATCACCAGTACCAAAGCCAAAAAAACAAAGAGAAACCTATACTGCCTTCTCCAAGTGGCACAGAGGAAACCTTCAAACACTGCTTGCTAGGGCAAATTTTGGGAATGCCGCCCAGTGGCAAAGCAGCAGCCCTCCCCTGGCCCCACCACGAAACAGTTAGTGAACTCTTGCTGGCCCTGTACATTTCCAGGGCAACAATCAGACTCCACTCTCACTGTTCCTCAACTGTGCAATACCTCAGGCTTCCGGGAAGAGACCCGGTGGAGAGTCCGTAAGTAAACCTGAGATAAGAAAGCAGAAACGGACCCCTGCAAACAAGGGGCTGGGTTTAACAGACCAGCTGTGCGCTGAGCGTGACAAGTTTGCTGCACAGTAATCTTACATCAGTCTCCTGCATCCACCCTCTTTATTTACGACCCTTTCGTGCTATCAGCGCTGCCAGCACTCACACTGTTCCCTCGCTGTCCCTTCACTCATTCCCTTGCACTCTCCTAGACACCACACTCACTTTCTCCTTTCTCTGAAACCTCAACCACCTCTCCCCACTGTCACAATCAACAAGTATGCTTCCCGCTTCACTAAGATCAAAGCAACCAGAAAACAACTACTCTGGACCCTACCCAGGAGGAGGGTTTAGAGATCTACATTATAATGAGCCTTGCAGTGTTTTTAATGCACCGGGAGCCACTGCATCTCACAATCCAACAACCCCCTCCACTGGCATTCGCCTGCTCTTACCTAGCCTTCAATCAGTTTTAGTTACATGGTTTTTCTGTTCCTTAACCAACAGATATGCTATTATTTCTTAAGGAAATATATATTCTCTTTTCGGTTCAGGGTCTCAGCATTAGACACTGAAGCCCAAGTCCAGTCTTGAAAAGAAGTTCATCTTGAAGCTGGTGATGGAGCAGTGAGGACCCAGGTCAGGGTAAGGGAAGTCCTACCTTCAGAATCAGGGTGACTCATGGGGGCTGACAGTGGGGGCTGGGCTGGGCTGAGTGAGACAAGAAGAACCCGGGGCCAGAATCAGATCCAGAGATGTTTATTCAGGTGCCTGGAGGTCAGAAAAGGCAAAGGGAGAATCCAAATTATTAGTAACAAAGAAAGGCAAGATGAAAGCAGACCCCAGCTGTCCTGCTGAGCATGCAGCAGGCAGCTCCACGCACCAGCCTCACCTCACCATAACATAGAAGGGAGTCTGGCCAGTAGCGCCCTCCCTTTTTGAGACAAGGTCTCAACTGTGTAGTCCAGGCTGGCCTCGAACTCCTCGGAGATCCTCCTGCCTCAACCTCCCAAGTGCTGGGATTACAGGCGTGCACCATCACACCGAGCTCCTAGTAGGCTCTTTCGACGTACACGCACACTGCTTTTTTCTGTGTCTGTAGATCTTTTGGATGCTGCACCATCCTCATGATGCTGGCACCTATTCCACCCTTAACTTTTACCATTAACCTGGACAGCTTCAAAATACACGCAGACAGCCCTTCTCCACAGTACTTGATCCCTCAGGTCACTAACCAGTCTCCAGGCACTCAGCCCTGTGGCCACACCCTACACGCTGCCACCACCTAAAACTGCTCTGCTTTCAAATTAGTAATTCACACATTCTGATTTCTAACCACAGTTACCTGTCCTCCCAGGTCACTCGTTCAGTTATTCCCACCAACACCCAACTGCTACCTTCACTCTCCTGACTGTTCTACAAAACTCCACAGTCCAGCGCAGCCACATTACATGCTAGTAGCCTAAACCTCCTTAGCTCACTATCCTTTCATTTGCGTTGATGGGAAGGAACTCTAGAGGATCGGCTGGTACTCACTTCTTCCAGTCACACCCAGAATTCCTGTGTGGGTAGGAATGGCCAGAGCACGGGGCAGGCTGGCATAGCTACAGACTCGTTAGTAACATCGTTATAAATTCACAAAGATCCTCATCATTACTCAACAACCCTCACCCACTGAAATCTGACAACGTACCCATTCCTCCCATACTAACAAAGTGACTTTCCTGGTTTTACTCCTCTGTCTATGGTCCAACCTCCTCTTCTGTCACCTTTACTGTTCATTTTCAGAGAGTTCTATTCTGAGCCATCTCTCATTACCTGACCCTGGATATCTTCCTATTCCTACGACTTCACTACCTCGAGTCAAACCCCCAAATCCCCAGCACAACCTCCCAAGTCAGTTGTCTGCTTACTTGCTTTCTTCCTTTCTCCTCTCTTTTCTTTTCTTTCTTTTTTTTCTTTTGGTACCAGGCAGGCACTGTGCCACTGAGAATATCCCTGGCCACTCTTCCTTTCTTGTAGACAGAGGTCTCACTATGTTGTCCATGCTGATCTTGCACTCCTGGGCTCAAGCAATTCTTCAACCTCCCAAGCAGGTGGGACCACAGGCATATAACTGTCTCCATCTTGTCCTGCTTCCAAATGAATATCTCCCAAGGACCTAAAATCCAACCAGCCCACTCAGTTGTTCAAGCCAGAAACCTGGAACTCACTGCAGATTCCTTTCAACCAGCTTCAACATTCCATCAATGCAACATAATGTAGTCCGCAGCGGCCTCAGCATATACCTGAAACTTGGGTTTCTGCAGCGCTGCTGCCCTCATCAACTCGACTTAGCCAGGCCCTGTCGTTTCTTACCCCTCCCTAGGTGAATAAATGCACTGGCTGTACCTCAAGTGACAAGCTCTGGGGATACAAAGGTAAGTGTGGTTTCAGAAGACTGTAGCCAAATGCACACAGCAACCAAAACATCATATTAAATGCTAAAGGAGTTCTCTTCACATAACACTTTGAGGACCCAGATGAAGAATTAATTCTGCTCTGGGCATAGAGGAGTACAAAACCAGAACGTTTAGGAAGATGACTAAACTTTGCTAGCCAGACAAGTATTCAGCAAAGATGAGCATAGGCAAAGGCTCTGTGTAGTGATAGCTGAACAGTTCACAGTCCAGCCTCCATATAACGCCCCTGACCTACAGTCTGTTTCAGAATCTCCATCCCTTCACTGGAGGCACCCAACTGCCTCAAAGTCCTGCGACCTATGTCTTCTCAGTGGGCACTCTCAGAGCTTGCTCCCGGGAACAGGTAGAAGAAGCTGTATCTTTACAACAAGTCTATGGCAGCTCTTCTGGGGAGGCCTGGGATCTGTCATCCTAACTCATCTTCCCCCAGCACTAGCTCTCCTTGCCTAGAGCTTACCTGGACGTGATCTGGGTCTACTATGAGGCAGAAATAATGGATAAACCCCTTTGCCAATGAGCACCCCAATCTCTCAACCCAAAATCGCATTGACCAGTTGTTTGTAACAGAACCCCGCTCCCTCGTTATGCCCCTCCTCCAAGAAAGCTCGGAATCCATTCAGAGTTTCTACATACAGTACCGCGTGAGCCTTCTGAAAGGCCTATCCTGACCTCTCCCAGAGACTCCTTCAGTTAACAAATCCATTTTCCCTCCTGCAAACTCCAACCTGGTCCATGGAGTCTTCAAAGAACAGTAAGAGTTATGACACATAATATCCACAGCTAGTTTATTGAGCACCTCCCATGTTCCCAGCCCTGACTATAGATTTCCTCACATAACACACGCAACAATGCTGTAAGACAGGAATTCTATCATTTTCCGAATGAGGAATGTGATACTAAGACACTAAATGGCTCTCAGCTGTAAGGGGCAGTTAGGATTAGAACTACCATGAATCAAGAGCTGCCTGTCTGCAGTCTTGAAGGCCTGGGCAGTAGGAACCTGAAGGAGCAGGAGGTACAGGTGAACAGAGGCTGATCAGTATAGATCAGAAGAGCAGAGAGGCCAAGACAAAAAGCCCATGTGTCTTCTGAGAGATGCAAAGAAGAGCCAAACTCAAAGACTCTTCAACTGCAAACCATTTGAGGTGATCCATGATGCCCAGTTATCCCCCTGTTCCTTCTTACTCATTAGCTTGCTCAAGTGACTTTAGGCTTCTTTCTAACCAAGGCGCCTGCACTGGAGCACAGCTGAGCCAGGGGCTTCATCACACCTCGTTCTTGGGACGGAGGAAAGGTCGTACCAGGTCCTGGCTCACAGCCTGGCTAGACACAGTCTTCAGAGTTCTCAACCTGGAGTCTGGGCCCTGCTTCCACTTTCAAGAGGTGTTTAGAGGTCACCTTCGCTTGTAGAGACACGGCTGAAGTTTCAAGCCTGCAAGCTGAGCCTTGGGCCCTACCCGAGGGGGGCCTGTCTTTTCAAAATCAAACAAGAAGAAGTGGCTGTTGGTCAGGTCCTAGGGGCAGAAAAGAACTGATGAGCTCCAAATCCTGACCCCCAACCCCTCAAAACACCTCCCTCCATGACCTTCCCCAGGTCAGAAAGCTTCCTAAGGCCCCTAGTGTTGTCTTTCGGGGGCGAAATGTCTGTTCCTGTGCCCATGGCTTCCGTGCTGAACATCATTATCCTGAAAGGGGCCACAAATGAGACGACACCAGGGACAGATTTCTTAGAGCTCTCACCTTGGAGATGACCTTAAAGCCCAGCTTGGTCACAGCCCCCAGAAAGGTCCGAACATCCTCAAAGCGGCTGCCGACCTCAGCTATTTTCAGGAGACCCCTGAAAAAGTAGGAAGTTCTGTGTAAATGCAGACACATGCACGCACATATAAATGCACCTGTGTCCTGAAGCTCCTACCCTGGCTTCAGCACTCGATTTGCCTCTTCCAGGAAATCTCTGATGTTGGTTCCCATCAGTGAAAGACAAAACACAGCCACATCCACAGACTCATCCTCCAGAGGCACCTGTGTAAAGTGTGGGAGTGTGGAATGAGGCACACAGCAGTAGAAGAAGAAATCTGACAGAGTGCTAGAATTGGATATCAGGATAGGGAGGAGCGGGGAGGAGAGATCAGAGCACAGACCAGATACACAGAGGGATATACCTGGGCCATGTCACACACAGTGACCCTGGGGTCCAGTGAGGCCAGGTCAAAGCAGTGTACAGGGTTCCGGATACTTGAAGCTAGGCGGCAATCCCCACAGCCAAAGTCAGCCACTACCAGAGATGCAGGCCTGGGAGTGGAAGGGAGGGTCACACACTGGGGTAGTCTGAGCCCCCGAATGACCCAAACTGCTTATCACAACGCCCAACCCCCCATTCACCGCTGGCGAAGATCCCTGATGATGCGGTCTACTGGCTGCAGTGGCCACTTCTTCACTTGGCTCTGGAAGCCTCGATGGTAGAGGAGAAAAGCCTCAGGGTCTTCCTGGAAAAGGCGCTGTGCAGCACTGCTGGGCCCTGAATACAGCTGCTCATTAAGGTAGCGAAATCGGGCCCCATCCAACCGCTGTGCCATGCGGGCTCGCAGGGCCTCTGCCCGAGCTTCATGACTGTCTGCCTTGCGGGTAGGAGGCCCCTCTGACTCCTCTGTAGCAGCCTTGGAGGCCTCAGCGGAAATCTCCTCTGGTGCCTGGAGTGGCCGAAATTTGTTCTTGTGTCTCCGCTTGTTCTTCTGCCGGTTCCGCCACTGCTTCCGGGTTAAGGGATTGGGGGGCTTAGTGGAAATGGATCCAGAGCTTGGCTCTGGATTTGTAGTACCACTCTTCCAGGATTTGTGACCTGCAGGGAGGGAGATGGGAAGGTGTTATTTGTGGCAAGATTCCTAAATTCAGAGGCTTGGCAAGTCAGTATGGCCATACCCTTATCCTTGAGACAGAGACTGTGGCCTGGATAACAGTACTTCTCGTTGCCTACCCAATCCTAATGCTGGTGGGAAACCCCCACTGTATGTACAACCAGCGGACCCTCCCATCCATACACATACACACACATCCGTACCTGTTTGGTCGACACTGTCTTTGTGCTGGGCTGGGTTTGAAGGGGCCTGTTCCGGGCATTTTCTCTTTCTTTTCTCTTCTTTGGCAGAGTCACTATAGAGAAGAGCTTGTTTGCGGCATTTCTTCTTTTCTACTTTGTGGTCCTCACAGTCACCTGGAGATGGGCCCAGTTTTTGACATTTTTTCCTTTTCTCCCCTACTTTGGCAGAGGTGTTAGCAAATGGGGACCTTTTGGGGTGTTTCTTCTTTCTTTCTACCTCCTCCTCAGAGTCACTGCTGGGGAAGCTGGTGGACTGCTGGGAAAGAGACGCTGCTTCCAGAACTCGTAAGGTGGCCAAGAGCTGGCGGCGCCTAGAGCCCTGCAAAGATCGAGAATAAGGCAAGAAGAATGGGTGAGGCCTGGAGAATAAGGGAGAGATGGGGACCTGGTTCAGATACTTTCCTGGTCAATTTAACTAGCTTTGTTGGGAAGAATTTTCGTGTTGCCATCTCAACTCTAGGAGGCTGAGGGGCAGAAAAATCACCAACCCACCCGACTTCAACGTGTAAGTGACTGGTAGCGGAGTTTCTCCAGCAGAAACGTGCTAAGGCCACACACAACCAGACTAAGGTGAGACCAGGAGTTCCAGCCCTCCATTTCAGGATTTTGCTTCCAGGTGATACCCTTCTGTGTCAGGGACGGAGGAGTCTTGAATACACGAGAAACAGCACCACATGTGTAAAGGAACACATTCCCGCTGGCTTGAACCACAGGCATGAGTGTCCCATCAGGTGTCTCACATCATGGATGGGACAAAAGGATCTACTCACTTTTACGGGTCTGTTTGCTAATGAAATTAATAAAAAGCCACCTGATGAGACAGTCATGCATGTACTGCGGATGGTTCAAGCCTCCCAGCAGTGAGACATAAGACTTAAGAATTACTGCAACGTGTCATCTCCAACGTGTCAGTATGGCTCCAGCTGCAGTGCAGGCAACAACCTGAAAGGAAGAAGCTGCACACAGAGACCAGCGGCCTGGCCCATGATGACGGGCTGCGGGGATAAAAAAGAGGAAACAAAGCAGGCATATTCCATGTTGCAGGCTGAAGAATGGTAAGAAAAGCTTGAGGAAGTAGAGTGGTCCTCACGTCTGCTAAAGCTCCAAGGAAAAGCTCTGTAGTTTGGGACGATAAAAATAGGGATTAAAACCTAGGGGAGTGGTCCTAGCTGCGGCACTTACCTTGGAGATTCTCAGTTCCAGCAACCTCACCTCCCTCGAATAGTAATGTTGACTACCCTTCCCTGGCCACCCAGTCTTTCTCTTACCAATCTGTGGAGGGCCACCTAGGCGACTATCCTTGAAAGAGAAGCAATTGCCTCCATTTTGGCTGAGCCTATTTCCATGTATTGATATGTACAAAGCTGGCTAGGAGCCTTTCCTTATCCCTTCATTTGGCTTTAAGCAATGCATACAGGTCTAGCCGAGGTGCTGATGGTAGTCTTTGAAGATGGTAGGCATGTTTCCCCAGACCCCTGTTGTTCCCATGAGTGACGTGTGAATCAATGCTCCAGCTGTCAGCTGGGATTGAGATTAGGGACAGAGGTTAGGGCTTCCTGGGGCTTGAAAGATTACACATCAGAGCTGAAGCACCAACCCCAAAACATTGGATACTAACTCAATTGTGTTACGCAGATTTCTCTTTCTGCACATCTTCTCTCTGCCATTTGCGGAGGTGATTTCAGGCTTCCTACCTAGCCCAGCTCATAGCACTCACCTACTTCCCACGGTTCTCACAGCCAGGCATCCTCAAGCCACTCCCTTCTTCAAATGAATAAAACCTGGGTTCAGCCTTGGGTCAAGGCCTTTGTTCTGGATAGCCATCACTGTGGCTGGACTTAGGGCCCCTGGGCTCCCCATAACTACAAATATGCCTTAGTATCTTTATTCTCGCCATGGGTTGCACTGGAAGTGGTAGGTTGGAATTAACTCTCTAGAATTCCAATAACGTTTAATGGGATTACAAATACAAACTTCCTGGGCCGCGACAAGGACTGAGAAGGGCTCTCTATACCAATCTATTCCCCAGACTGCAACCAAAACTCTTTCCGAGGCTGGGGGTGTGGCTCAGCGGCACAACACTTACCCAGCATATCTGAGGTCTTGGATTTGACACCCAAGAGCGAAAATGGGCCGCGGCTGGGGGAAGCCTTTTCAATACAAGCTTGCAGAAATCACGCCATGGCCAGAAACAGTTCATTGACTTCTATGCTCAAAGCATGCAACTCTTCCAGTCTACCCCTTCAATTTCAGCAGCATCCCCTCTCAGTTACTCAGTGCTCCGACCCACGGGGACCTTTTATATGTACGTTTCTCTACCGGAACGTTCTCTCTTGCCCCAGGGCCTTTGCCCTTTTTCCTGCCCAGAGTACTATTCTCTGCACCACCTTCTCACCAACTGTTTCAGCTCCAACGTTATTTTTTGGGGTGTTCCCAGATCTGGTGATCAGGAGTCTGCAGGGACCCCCTGCTCCAGTACACACCCGAAGCGTTTCCCAGCGCCGGGTTCCACCAGAGTCCGAAGGATTCGCGGCGGGAAACGGCGCCCAGTGCCGCTACAGGCCACTCACCCCGGCCACTCACCTTGATTTGCGCGGCTGCCGCTGGCCGGGGCCGTGAGGTTACGGGACTGAGGCCCGCGACTACTGGGGCCGCCTCGGCCCACTCAGGCTCCTCGAACATGCGGGTCGCGAGGGCAGAGTCGCAAAAATTAAGATCCCCTCCACGTGCTCAGCGCAGCTTCCTCAAGTCAGAGCGGCCGCCAACACGCCGGGTCGCAGCCGGAAACCAAAGTAAACGCTGCCGGCGGCTAGAGCGGCCGGCGCGGCTCAGAAAACCATCGAGTGGAGACACTCATGGGCTAGAAGGGCAAGGGAGGAGGTCGGAAGGGAGGGAAGGCGGACCCGCACCGGCCGAGGAAGGCCAGGGGCTGGGCGGGGCCGGGTGGCGGGCGCGGCCGGACGGGAGTTCCCCGGAGAAGCGCCTCCAGCCCGAGTCCCGGTGAGTGCGGAGGACCCGCGCCCCCTGCCCAAGGCTGGGGCTTGGCGAGCCCTTCTCTCTCTCTCTGCCTGGGCCCCAAGTAGGGAACGGGCGCAGCCCTCGGGAGGGACCCCCACCCACTTCCCCAGCGTGTCCGGAGCCGGAGCCACCCCCTCCCCCCAGGCTCTTCGCGGGCTGGGTCTCCGAGCCTCTCTCCTGCGTCGGTTCTGGAGAAACTGCCTCGAAATCACCCCTATCCTGCCGGACTCATCTTTTTCTGGCGCGCAGGGAATCATCCCATTGCCCCAAACTCCTTCACAGACCACCACTAGCCGGGGATGCAACGCCCACCCCCCTGCAACACAGACACTGCTTTGCTGTAGGGGACAAAGCTGGGGCTTAGCCTTCTTCCTTGGATCCCCCTTCTCTCCACAGTCCCCAGGCTTCCCCATTCTCGGGGACTCAGCGCTGGGACTCTGCTATGGACGACATTTTCACCCAGTGCCGGGAGGGCAACGCTGTGGCCGTGCGTCTGTGGCTGGACAACACGGAGAACGACCTCAACCAGGGGTGAGCTGAAGACTGGTGGATGAGAGGAAGGCTAGAGATCTTCCCTTATGCTACCGGGGTGCTCAGGTCGGGTTGCCATCCAGCGTGACGGAGTGCCGGGGCAGAGAGGGTCTGCACAGAGGAAGCAGTGTTTGTGCTGAAACTTGATTCTAAATAAGTTTCACAAGCAGAGGTTGCAAAGGGCTTCCCAGCTTCACGGGAAAAGGTCAGGAAGCAAGACAGATTGGGAAGGATCGGGAAATTTTCTGGAGTTCAATGCAGCTAGAGTATAAATCTCTATGGGCTGGAGCACTGGGTCCAAGTGGAAAAGGACAGGATGTGAAGCTGGAGAGGTATACACGGGTCAGCCAGTTTATACTTCTAGTCTAAGTTTTTTTTCCATTTTTTTATTGGTGCATTTTAGATATACATAGTAGTAACACTCATCATAGAGAATTTGTAGCTGTAGATGATACAGCTTGCTGCTTCTTTTCTCCCATTCTCTTCCCTCCCTTCATCCCCTTCCCTTCCTTATTTACAAAGCTTTGCTAAGAGTAAGGTTTTGAGACTGCATAGTGGTATGATGAGATTATCCATTTGCAAAGCAGCATCTTGGATGCTTTGTGAAGAGTATGTAAGAAAAAGGCAGTTACCTAGGCCATCATAGAAATGTTGCTGTTTTGGACCACATTTCTGGAATCTAATTGCTTGTGAAAAATGACAACGAACTCATGACAATCCTCTTGCCTCAGCAAGAGTGCTGGGATTACAAACATGCACCACCATATCTGGCCCAGAAATCTTAAGGATGAAGACTTAAAGGACTTGGCATGGCAAGTGAGGAAGGTCAAAGGTGATGACCAAGATTCTGGCTTGGGTACTTGGATAGGTTGTAGTTGCATTTACTGAGATGGAGACAGTTGAAGGATAAGGTGTTCTGTTCTGGACATGTTAAAGTTTGGTGACAACGCAGCAACTTGGAAATGTTAAGTAGGTTGTTGGTTATGCAGGTTTCGAGTTCGGGAAAGAAACTTGACTTGGAGACACAGATTTGGGAAATATTATTTATTAGCAGATACATGATACCTGAAGACATTCATGTGAAAGTAGTGCCTCAGAAGAGTAAAAAACGAGAGGATAGAGGGTGAGAAGCCATGCAGATTGAAAAGGAGCAACCTGAAGTCGAAGAAGAAATAGGAAAACATGTGAATAAAACTTAAAGAAGTTTATGAATGTTTTAAAGAAGGGGCAGAATGGGCAGTAGTAGTAAAGGCTATTGAGAGGTGAAAGAACTTCAGTACTTTAATGATACCACTGAACTTAATGATACCACTGAACTTACAATCAAACTTATGTTTGATAATCTCTGTGAGTGCTGCTTCAGATTAATAGGTTAAGGACCAGCCTCCATTAGGTCCCTTCAGTTATGGAACCATATAGTATGTGGACTACCACCTGTGCTGATGCTAGTCCCAGAGTCAGATATAATCTGTGCCCTCAAGGTGGCAGACTTGTGGCAGGTTAGAAAGTGAATGGGAGGTAAGGATATAGAGAAAGTAAATGTGGACAAGCTTTTAAATGTTGGGGGAGACAGAATCAAGCAAAACAAGTGATTTTGAGATAGCCATTGTTAATTTTTTTTAGCTTTTGTTTTTAGTGTTGTGACTGTTTAGTTTTTAGGTTTGAGCCATCAGGGTCAACTGTCACCATAGTCCAGGCTACACTGGTTCCCTTTTGGCTTATACTAGTTCTTCTTAATAGTATGCAAGGCAGTTAGTTTCATTTTTAAACAATTTATAAAGGGTACTCTGACAGTGAGCATTGTTACTATTTTATTGATAAGAAATTAAGAGGCTTAGGAAAAGCTGCCCAATGCGACTGGCATCTTGTTGGACTCCTGAGTTCCAAATGGTGAAAGGATAGCATTAGTGAGACTGAAAGGTTTTCGTGCTAGCTTGAGGGCATAGGGTGTGGGCCCGCAAGCTGGTTATGTGCTGGATATGAGGTGATGGTTAATTCCCTGATGGCCTCCTTGAGACACAAGTCCAGGCCCTGAAGTGACAGGTGACCTGAGAGTGGCCAGAACCGTTGTGCCCATTCTTCTGCTCTTGGGCTTGGATCTACTTCGGAATAGTCTGCTGGAGGCTGATAAGTCAGGGCACAAATTAAAGTCCTGAGAAACAAGACTGACTGATAAACCAGGGATGTAACTGCTTCCGGGGATGCCCGCATCTCGCGAGTATTTTTGGCTATTTGTGTGAACAGATGAAGGCAAGCTGTAGAGGGGAAATATCAACGCACGCGCGCGCGCACACACACACTCTCTCTCTCTCTCTCTCTCTCCCCCCACCTCTCCCCATCTCCCCTTCTCCCCGCCCCCTCCGGCTTGGGAGACATCTGGGTAGCAAAAGCTCTGATCAGCTCCAGGCCCTGCCTAGAGCCCCCACATGGGAAGTGACCACAGCACTAAGGCATCCGGTGGCTGCTGGCCCAGACCATGGACCGCCCCCGTGCTCCGCCCCTTGCATCTGCAACCCGGGACTGGAGGAAATTTCCTTTTATGGCTCTAGGCTGTCAGGCTGACCCAGCTCCCACCCAGTTGTTTTGTTTGTATACTTTTACTTTATAAAATACATGTCCTTGGGAAAAGAAAAAAAAAAAATCAGGTGCTGTCACTCATTTTCTTCTAGAATTGCCAGGTAGGAGAATCTTGTTTTGTGTGGTTATTGGCCTCGCCAGTAATCAAAAGCATCTCTCCTTTTTATTATAAACTCTTCTGAAACATCATTTTAATTCCATTCCATTTTTAGATGTTAGTGTTTGTACCAGAAACAAACAGTAAGCTTTGTCCCTCTCCCATGAGTTGTGGCCTGCCTTCTCCAAAATACCCCTCTCCCCCATTAATATGCACTGAATACCTGCTTAAGCTTATGCTCCAACAGGCAAGACAGTCCACTATTCAGAGTTTTCTAATCAAGTGCAACAAGCGCTATACTAGGGAGAGAATACAAAAAGCAGTGGAATACAAAGGGTAAGAGACACTGCAAAAGAGGTGCTGGGGAAATTACAGAAACAGTGCTACCGAGTGGAGAGATGAAGATAATCTTACTAGCACGGTCAGGATGTCTTGGTTGGTGTGAAGCTCAGGGCAAGGTCTGAATTGCACAGCTTTTGCAAATTGCTAGCACGAGAATTGAAACTGTAGTAAGGTAGGCCATCCAAGAGAATACAGTGTGACTAACGGTCTTTTATGACTCAAAGCCTTTGCCTCGTCCTACTTCCAGCTTAATGACCATTGGCCCTTTCTCAAAGGGACGATCATGGCTTCTCCCCCTTACACTGGGCCTGTCGCGAGGGCCGCTCTGCTGTGGTTGAGATGCTGATCATGCGGGGAGCGCGGATCAATGTGATGAACCGTGGGGACGATACCCCCCTGCACTTGGCAGCCAGTCACGGACACCGCGATATTGTACAGAAGGTATGTACACACTCCTCCATTGCCCACATCACATATGTCCTGAGGGTCAGTCACAGGCACTGTAGTATAAAGAATGCATACTCTTTTTCCTTGTCCCATGCTGACAATGGTGTCTCATTTGGGACTGTCTCCTGCTGCTTCTTTTTGGCCCAGCTGTTGCAGTACAAGGCTGACATCAATGCAGTAAATGAGCATGGGAATGTGCCCTTGCACTATGCCTGTTTTTGGGGCCAAGACCAAGTGGCAGAGGTGAGTACTTTGGCCCCAAGTCTTGGCATGGGTGGGAAGCAGTGAACTTTGAACCTTCAAACTGTCCTGTCAGTACTACTGTGTAACACTCAAAAGTGTGTTTATGGTTGGTTGTGACTGCCAGAGAGGTAGCAGGGGCCCTTACCATAACCACCTTTCATTCTAGGACCTGGTGGCTAACGGAGCCCTCGTCAGCATCTGTAACAAGTATGGAGAGATGCCTGTGGACAAAGCCAAGGCACCCCTGAGAGAGCTTCTCCGAGGTCTGTCCCCATCCCTAGCTTGTGTTGTCCTGTCTTGCCCTTTCTCAGTTGTCTCCTCCCTCCATCCTGTAACTCGGACTAAGACTGTTTTTCTTTCCCAGAACGAGCAGAGAAGATGGGCCAGAATCTCAACCGTATTCCATACAAGGACACATTCTGGAAAGGGACCACCCGAACTCGGCCCAGTGAGTCATTATGGGGGGAGGGGTTGTAATAGAGAATAACCTTGGGCTCCCAGGGCTGGGTTAGGGCCAAACTGGGTACCTGACCTGCCCACACTCTCAGGAAATGGGACCCTGAACAAACACTCCGGCATTGACTTCAAACAGCTCAACTTTTTGGCGAAGCTCAACGAGAATCACTCTGGAGAGGTGACCCCTGCCCTTCTTGCCCCTTCCACCCTAACCTCCCACAAACTACCTACGCTGCACCTGTTTTAAGTTTTTCTTGCAGTTATTGGGCAAGAATGTGGTGTCATAAAGCCTTCTAACCCCTACCCTGTCCTTCAGCTATGGAAGGGCCGCTGGCAGGGCAATGACATTGTTGTGAAGGTGCTGAAGGTTCGGGACTGGAGCACAAGAAAGAGCAGAGACTTCAATGAGGAGTGCCCTCGGCTCAGGTGCGGCAAGGCCTAAGCTACTAGCTGCTGGTTCCAGGGAACCCTGAGTAGCATGGAGAGGGAGCTCTTTTATGCTGGGTCTCAGCCAGGGCCACTCTTTTCCTCTCCCAGGATTTTCTCGCATCCAAATGTGCTTCCAGTGTTAGGTGCCTGCCAGTCTCCACCCGCTCCTCACCCTACCCTCATCACACACTGGATGCCATACGGCTCGCTCTACAATGTACTACATGAAGGCACCAGTGAGTAGGGATGTTGGTCTCACTGGGAAGGGCTGGAGAAGGAATACACAAGCCTCTGAACTATTTGACTTTCGCCTCCTCTTAGATTTTGTCGTGGACCAGAGCCAAGCTGTGAAATTTGCTTTGGATATGGCAAGAGGCATGGCTTTCCTACACACACTAGAACCCCTCATCCCACGGCATGCACTTAACAGCCGTAGTGTAATGGTGAGACATTAGTTCATTCCTGGTCTGGGCCCCAACAGGTCTTTTCCGTATCTAAAATAGGACTCATCTCCTTCCACATATCTGCTCTTCCTCAGATTGATGAGGACATGACCGCCCGAATCAGCATGGCCGATGTCAAGTTTTCTTTCCAGTGCCCTGGGCGCATGTATGCACCTGCCTGGGTAGCCCCTGAAGGTGGGTGAGGGTGTCAAGACAAGAGGTAGAGAAAGACGAGCTCAATAATAATGGAAGGGGCAGAGAAATGACAGGGTAGGCAGCTGGAATAGATAAGCCCTATCTCTCCAGCTCTGCAGAAGAAACCTGAGGACACAAACAGACGCTCAGCAGACATGTGGAGCTTTGCAGTGCTTCTGTGGGAACTGGTAACACGAGAGGTACCCTTTGCTGACCTCTCCAACATGGAGATTGGAATGAAGGTAAGTGCAGAGTTGTGCACACTTGCACTAGGGGAGCAGTGGTGGTGATAACAACATGGTAGTGGCCCTATGCTCTTGCCGTATTTCTTCAGATACACAGTAACCCTATGGAAGGGCTGGGAGCTTCTGCCCACATGGTAGATTCAAATTCTGAGGCTTACTGTTTTTCCTTGTATTTTTAGGTGGCACTGGAAGGCCTTCGGCCTACCATCCCACCGGGTATTTCTCCCCACGTGTGTAAGCTCATGAAGATTTGCATGAACGAAGACCCTGCCAAGCGACCCAAGTTTGACATGATTGTGCCTATCCTGGAGAAGATGCAGGACAAATAGGACTGGAAGGTCCTTGCCTAAACTTCAGAGGTGTCAAGACATGGTTGGGGGGGAGTGCAACTCCCTACTGCAACCTGCCTTTGGCTGCCTCCCCTGCCTCCAGTCATGGTACTACCCCAGCTGTGGGGCCCATCCCCTGCCCCCAACCTGCCACTGTGACCCCGAAAGGGCTTGGCCTGAGAGCTTTGTCACTTGCCACAAGGTGTCTCCCAGCATGGGAGGGATCAGCCCCGCCTGTCACAATAAAGTTTATTATGAAAACAGGCTGGTATGGGGACATGGGAACAGACAAGGACACCTGGGTTGCGTGGCTCAGGTGAAATAGTGCGGCTTCTTCACATTGATGCCATACTCGCTGAGGGCAGGGGTCAAGTCCTCCATGGTTAGAGTGTACTTGCGGTCCTGAGGGAAGAGGGAAGAGCACCAGCTGAGCACAGGAATCCCACATTTCAATCCCAAGTGGAGGACCCTGAGTTGGCATTACACCTCCCCTGGGATGCAGTTTACCCAAACGGCCTTCATGATAAGTAAAACCTGCTCCTGTGGAGGGGAGTGATTCACTGAACCCCTGTTCACACCTTGCTCTTGCTCCGGGAGCTACCCGAGGCTGTGCCCTTCATTTTGCAGTGCTGTAGGGCATCATTGGCAATATCTGAGATGAATTTCTGGGCAGCCAGGGAGATAAGCCGAATTCTAGAGAAGGAAAACTGGTATGAGAAAATGGACAACAAACTGCACAAGCACCCCAGGCTCTAACCCGCCCTGGGTTTACTCACATGCGTGGGTCTGAAGCCTCAAAGCCAGCACGGTTCAGGTAGTAACCAGTCACTGCATCTGGGATCTGAGAAATCGGACAGCTGTCAGTGTTAGCCCAAGGCCCTGCCGGACTGAGCAGGAAGCGGGTAGGGGAAATGGAGCCCATGGCCCGCTCATCTGGAAGCTCACTTTGGGTATACAGAGGAAATAACTAGAAGGGAGTGGGCAAGGGGAGGGGTCCCTGGAAAACACAGGGACGTGGCAGAAAGTTGGTGGGGCAGCAGGCTCGTTCAGGCGGGAAGCCCACCGTAGGCGTGTAATCCTCCAGCTGCATCAAGAAGTCCACCAGAGGCGTGCTGGACACCACCGGCTTCACCTCTCCGTTGGCCGCGCTCGGCAGTACGTAGACTCCGTTAGACATCGCCCCCTCCGGGGGCGCCGCGCCGCCCGCCGACACCGGAGCTGAAGGAGAAGCAGCGAACTGACTGAGACACGGAGGCGGGAGGCGGGAGGCGCACGGCCTCAGCTAGGCTGCCTCGTAGCCTCTGCCCTCCCCCGCCGCCCGGCCCGGCCCTCACCAGCCCCGCGCCGCTCCACCGGCTCCCCGGCCCGC